GCGCGGAGGGGCGGAGACTCCAGGCCGGGCGCGGCCTCTGATAGGGCGGCGCGGGGGTGGGGCAGGGACACTAGTAAGCGCCGGAGGCCCGGAAGGGGCGGTGGGCGAGGGGCGGGGACTAGTGCGGCAGGCAGGGGCCGGGCTGGGTCGTCCTGCAGAGGGGCGGGGCGGGGCCTCCCCGAGATGGGCGTGGCCTAGCCTCTGTGCGTCGTTTCCGGGCGAATGGAAGCGGTGGGTCGGCATCTCCCGGCTCCTCGACCCCCTCGGGGAGGGTGCGGCGGGCGCCGGGGACGGTGAGCAGCGCTGTGGGCAGGGTTGGCTCTGCCTGGCTAGTGTATTCCCGTGCCATTGGGCCCTGGGGTCCTCGGGAAGGCGAGGTGCTCCCAGTCTTGTTAAAGGGTATGGTCCCGCCCTTCTGCGGAGCATGAAGGTCACCCAGAGCGGGATTCATAGCCAGGTGCAAACAGAATCATTCCAGCCGAGGATGGTTGTTGGCCATTGGCCAAAGGTGCGCTGACGCAAATGCATTTTCTCTTTGACTTTTCGAAATGTTGAAAACAATCTAGGAACCCACTTTATTCCTTTACAGATCCTGAAAGGCCTAGGGTCCCCAAACAGAGGTCAGACAGAATCACCAAGCTCATGGAGGGGCAAGGACTTGTCTAAGGGTCGGGGGTGGCCTCTTGGTAGAGACTGGACTGGAGCCAGTGAGCTCATGCAGGAGCAATCAAAAGGCAGGGAGTTGAGACCCAGCATGGTCGGTTCCTTGCTTAAGCAGCCGGCCTGCCCAAGGCCTTCTGAGAAATGTGCAAGACATGTCCCTGTCCAAGGAGACAGAAAATCATTCAGTTCCTGGAGGGACCTCACCTTCTACACATTTTATGGAGTGGGTGTGAATCAGCAAAGAAACACTGGAGTGAAAAACACCTCAAGCTCTACACCTTCCATATTACAGGGTGGGCACCTTGAAGAGTGTGTGTTTGTATGTGTGTTCCGGAGGCCCATTTGTTGTTGCACTGAGCTTCTGCCTCACTTAAAAAATTGAGATTTCAGCACATCTGTGCAGTGGCCTGCAAGGGCTGTCACGCTCCATTTTCCTCTGAGTAAGTAATGGTCATTTATTGAGCCCTTGCTATGTGCCTGGGACTAGGTAAACATTATCTTTCTAATCCTCTCCAAACCCCTTTCTGGTAGGTATCACACTCATTTCATAGAAGAGGAGCTGGAGGCTCAGAAAGGTTGACTAACTTGCCCAGGAGGGGAACGGGAAGGCATTTCATAGCTTAAGCAGCTACTAGGTGGTAATAGCAGGACTTGACCTCCATTCTGATGTGCAATCAGCTGCTCTTAAGCACTGTCCTACTTTCCTCCATTTGGGATGCTGACTGGCTCATGGTGGTCTGCTCTAAACTCGAGATCTTGGCTGGCATCTATAATGTCAGCATTCTGTTTTTATTGTTTTGTTACAAGCCAGTGCTGCATAATGCAAGCTATGCCCTGAAATATTTATTCCCAGCTCCACTAACTCATTGGGTGGGAAGAACAAGATGACATGTCAATGTGTGGGCTACATCACAGGTTCTTCCACCACAACAATAGGAAGTGTGTCTTTTTTTGTTTTTCTTGTCTAACAAACATTGAGGATAATAATAAAATTATTTTTTTTAATTGGTAATCTTTGTGACATCCATGGCTTGAGATTTGAAAAGTCATCTCATTGCACATTTGGTACAGGCATCTGAAAATTGAAAGTGGTCATTTCTTTCAGGTGTCTCAGAAGGGCCCTCCCATGTCTTTGAGCAGATATATTTTTTTTTTCTCTCATAACAATACTGTCGAAGGAGTTGCCAGTTTGATGTTTACAGACAACAGAGAAATGGAGAGTAGATGGGCAAGATGAGAAAGAGAAAGGAAGAACTTACAACTACTCCAGATCTTAAAACTTTTCCTACTTAAAACAAACTGACTGTATCTATCTGGTTTAGGTTTCTATACCAGTTTATCAGAAGATGTGTATACCTTGCTATGGGTTATTTGATGAGCATCTCTGCATATATAGCTCATGGTCATACCTGACGTGATAAAGAATGGATGATGGGCTTTTGAGTGAATAGAAGATGATGCAATCCCCTAGGTTTTATGTATATTGCATGTTTTGTAGCTCTCTGTTTATAAAGGATCCTGGGTTTTGATTGTCAGGATAGTGGGGTAGGATCCTGATTTCACCATCATAAAAAAATTTAAGGTCTTAATCAGATGAATGGCTGGCAGTAGTTCAGCTCCAGGGTTGATTAACTCAGCTGTGTAAAGACCTTATCAAGCACGCGTGTTCCTCTTGTCTTTCTACTCTGCCCTCTTCAGATTGTTGCCTGTGGTCTCGAGGTAACTGCCAAAATTCCAGGACCAGACAATGTCCAGCAGCATAAGAGCCTGTCTCTATGTGTCTCTTTTTATTAGTAAGCAGACCTTTCCCAGAAGTGTCCTAGAGACCTCTCCTCATTTTTTGTTGGCCAGACTGGGTCATATGGCCACCCTAAACCACTCACTGTCAAGGGAAATGGATTACCACTACCAAGACAAGGATTTACCTTGAAGTGGCTACAGGGTCAGCTTCCCATGAGTCATGTGGGGGAGGGGTAGGTGGCTATCTGAACCAGTCAGGATTCTGATAGCAAGGAGGAGAGAGTGTGTGATGGATTTGGGGCAGGCACCTAGAATATCTGCTACCGTGGTGTGTGAAGTAGTGTGAGGAGGAGGGATAAGACAAGGTGACCTGCAGAGGAAATGTGAGGGGTTTGCCCTTGTGGGAGATCAAGATTTGGCCACCCTGAAATATATCTCTTTACCTTGATTGTTTTCTCTGAAGGACATTTGACCTCCCCCACTAACTGACTAAAGAATTTGACGTGGTGGCTCCTTCCTGGAACAGATCTT